TTCCTTTAGCTTATTTTGTTAAAATAAGTTAGCATGGTTAGACTTCAGTGATTATCCTCCAATTTGTATTATTTAAGTATGATATGTTTGATTTAGTATTTAAGAGTTATCTAAGTAGTTATATTTTCTTGAATATTTTGGTAGCTTGAGGAGAGTCGAGCCTCAGACAGCTACACCAATTATTCCCGCACTTGCAGTATATTTTCCAAGCTTATCAGGTGGGGGTCATGTACTGGATTCTACATCGTCAATAATTTCTTTACCATGTCTACGGTATGTTCGAGGTATTATGATCTCCCAGGTGTGAGGCCGACCTAAAGGCCTTTTTATTCCACCTGGTACCCGATGAGGGCCGAGGTAAGGGCTTTCAGGTTCATCGGGTAGTGTGCACACGAGCGGCCGAAGCAAGGGCCGATATGGGTCTTTGAGACCACAGACATATGAATAAGTTTTAAGTGTATGCTCTTATATATTCTAGTCATGATATGTTATTATTGATGCTGTTTTATTCAGTACTGGTCTTTGCGGAGCATAGTGGTTTGCTCACGCCCCCATTATGTTTTTCAAGTGATGGAGTCCAGCGTGCCGGGTGAGCGTACGTGGCTAGCGTGGTTATGAGCCGAGGACATTTTACCCCCATTTTATGTCCTATATTCATGAACCAATATTTTATCTATGTGTGTAACATGTATGATTATCCGTTACGTTTCCGCTAGACTATATGTGCGAGACCTTCAGACTGTATGTATGTTTTCACTATCGCCGTAGTGGCTCGATGGGTTGTATGTTTTATTTATGTCCAAAATAGTAAGTCAAGTAAGTTTTAGTAGCATCTCGCAATTAAGTAAGTATTTTCTGAAAATAAACTCGCACGACATTTCGAAAATAAAAGCGAAAAATTTACTTTGATTTTTCAAAAGTCAAAGCTAGTCAAGGCGGGGTGTTACAGTTCGGCTCATTTATCAGTATTAATGTGTCAAACCCTATATAAATTTATATAAAAATACTATTTTTTAGCCTTAACGAGTTGATACGAGGTTGACTTGTTTATCGAATGAGTCAAGCTAAATTTGAGCCTTAATGAACTGAGCCGAGTTCACGAGCGGCTCGTTTAATTTAATAGGTCTACCTAGCGCATCTGAGATTCAAATATTACCATGCAAAAAATCTAAATTTCTATCATTACAAATTTAACAGGAAAATTTAGAGTCAAATATGTAAAAGATTTATATTTACATAATGTAAATAATTATAATTATATGACTGTCATAGACCAAAATAATTAGTCCTTAATCTCATCCCTATTTTTTTTCAACATAAACTATCTAACTTTTGATTCAAAAGATAGATAGGGGCACATGCCCCTGCAGGGAAAAAAAAAATACTATATATATGCATTCGGTCTCTTGGGAATGAGGTATTTATTTATAATGATTTTTGATTCATGCATCATGAATATGGTGGGAGACTGAAAGTGCACAGTTTATGAATTGTGGAAGTTAAAAAGTTATAACAAGTCTTGGTACCACGTATAAAAGTAAGAAATAACTTTATAGATCTACAACACTAATTATAGAAATTCTTGTTTGGTGTAAATGATTCAATAGTACCTCATTCGTGTACAAAATTGTATACATCAATTATTATTAAAAATAAATATATAAGAGAAAAGATTTTCTTATTTAAATTTTAACACTTGCATTGTAAAAAGATACGTTAAGTTATTTATTAAGAAAACTGTTTATTTTATCTAAATTTTGTATATAATTACTCTTAATTAAATAAAAAGGTGACAACTCTTCTAAGAATGGAAATATCACATTAAATCTTTTACAATTCCATCTTTGAGCAGATTTTTAATTTCTACTCAAATGGTGTTGCATCTATTAATAAATTATAGGGAAAATTTCAAAATTAGTCCCACAGGTATAGAGGGGTGACAATTTTAGTCCCGACGGAATGCAGAAAATATGAATAGTCCCACATCTTTTAAAAAATGATCAAAAGTAGGACTTTTTCGCCGGATTTACTATTTCCGGCCCGGAACGCCACGTGGCATCCGACGTGTTCATATTTTTTTACAAGTTGTGGGACTAGTTTTGAATTTTCTGCATTCCATCGGGACCAAAAATGTCACTCCTCTATACTTGTGGGACTAGTTTTGAATTTTTTCCTATCTACGTCGGATGCCAGCGTGTAAAAAATAAGCCACGTGTACGCCACGTGTGCGCCACGTGGCGCTCCGAGCCGGAAATAGTAAATCCGGCGAAAAAGTCCTACTTTTGATCATTTTTTAAAAGTTGTGGGACTATTCATATTTTGTGTATTCCGTCGGGACCAAAATTGTCACCCCCCTATATCGGTGGGACTAATTTTGAAATTTTCCCTAAATTATATTTTAACTTAATGTAATCCTCTACTGTATTTAAGAATTAAAAAAAAAAAGTGATCTTTAGAACTTTCACAACTCTGATGTAAAGTTAACTTAATTAAGATTTCTAAACTCTTGTTATTGCTTTTGAACTCTTGTTATTGGTTTTGATACATATTGTATTTTAGGCGTTCTTAAAAATATAATTATAAATTAGCTACTGTTGTATTTGTCATTGATTTTTCCACTAAAATGATTTCTAATTTTTGAGAAATAATATTATAAATAGAAGTCCACCAATGCTGACATTGAAATAAATATCCATTGCAAAAAATAAATGTTGATATTTGAGAAAGATTTATTTAATAAGATTAGAAATAATGCGATTATGGAGGATACAATATATGAGAACATGTGAAGAATGATTATCATTTTTATTTTTATATTTTGACTGTGTAAGAATTACATTTATGTCCCTTTAGTTTCACGAGTCTCTGTCCGCCCCTGCTTTTGAAGGTGACTCCTTTTAACAACTTTATTAATGTTGCACTAATAATTTAAACTTTAACTGGCACCTCACTTATATTTACTTACTAGATGTGTCCAATGTGTATTTATTGCAGGACACGTGTCAATACACCATTTGTAGATAACTATGGATGATTCCATAAGACGAACCATCCGATGGTTCCATAACAAAACCGATACATGTGATCCCTTGAAATGAAAGTTAATCACTATTAATTAAAGTGGGCAAATAAATGTAAACTTTTCAATCAAAACAACACTAGTAATTGAGAGTGGAACTCGTCATATTTCCAACACTTGATATTGTGGGATGATTACCCCATATAGTAATTATATAGAAAAAAACTAAATCAAAACTTTATGATTATAACATTATAAGGAATAAAATATCAAAACGATTCTCGTCATTTTTTCTAGCACTTGAGTCTTGAAACATCTGAAGGAGTTTACACGAAAACGCATTACATGAGCTTACAAAAAGAAAATGGTTGGATGATGAAAAATAATGGAACATTTGTATCTCTATTATGCTTGGTAGGAAACATGAAATAATGAGTGATCATGTAATTTGATGAGTGCGCTTTCTCTTGATAGCATATGTTTGATTCTTCGGAGTCGAGGGACAAGAAATAGATAAACCTGAAATAGAGTAAGACTAGCCTTGCACACAAGATGTTCGATATAATGCCTATAAGAAGTCTCTAAGTCATAAAAGATTTGTTAAACGGAACTCTTTTTTACATTCCATTTCATGCATAAATCTCCATTTAACTTGGTGGAATTCAATATATTCAAAATAAAACCATAAAATAAATAAGTGAAAATACCAAAATTACATAATAGAAAAAAAGAAAAAACGTAGATAAAGAACAAGACAACACACTTTTCAAAAAATATCTAAAACTTACATCATTGTAAGCTGAATTGGATATCCAACTTCATTCTCCTACCTTCCTAGCCCTGACAGTTGATAAACTCTAAAGGGAGAAGATTTATAAACTATATACGAAATATAAATTGATAAAAGACATGATAACCTGTATACCTTCGGCGAGACTACATGTGCCTAAAGACAACCATATAACATAACTAGGAACTTGGTACCTCTTGGTTCAACTCAACCTTTTCTCTAAGCCAAAACATGAATTCCTGGCTAAAATTCGCGCTCGAGGTCGACATAACTAGGCTCGTTAAGGTTCGAAAATAGAGTTTTTATATAATTTTGTATAGTTCGACTCGTTAAAGCTTGAGATCGACTCGAGCTCGAGGCCTTTACGAGCTGAGCTTGAGCTCGAATTTTAGCTCGTTTATTTAACGAGTCGAGGTCGAGGTCGAGCTCGGCTCGTTTACAGCTCTACTCTTGAATAACTATTACTATAGAAGTTATAATGTTACCTATTATGTGTTGGGTATAATGACTACTTAAATAATGTTAGCTAAACTATGTTACCTAATTCAATGTATTAGGTGCAAGAGTGTTGCTTATTAGTAAAACGTTGCATAACAGTTCATATTTTAAAAAGTGGTACAACAATGTGATAGTTAAACTAACATTTAAAAAAGTGCTACATGATTGTGTTACACAATGTCACTTTTGTTGTACTATTCTTCATAGCTTACGATTCAACAAATTAGATACAATTTTTTAATAACACACCTTACGGTTAATTTTTCCAGAACATGAAAAAATAATCATAGCAATTAATTAAAGGACTGAATGAAAATCAAATTGGGCTATATCAAAATAAAAACATCCACAAGCATGTATCATTGTACCAATTATTCTACTCACAGTTATAAAATACAATACTAAATACTCAAATTGTGAACTTAATTATGGATTGAATTGAGCCCCGGGTTACTAAAATGCTCAAACTTTACGTTTAACAATAGATTAAATTGAAGTCGGCCAGCCGGAGGCACTCTAGTAATTAACATAATAAAAAAACTAAATACATAGAATAGAAGGAGGTGGGCAAAATATAGATATTTGAAATTCCTTTTCACAATCCTTTTTCTAAATATTAATTCCAATTAGACAACTTAACCAAAAACACAAACAACCCACATAACAAAAGCCAAATAACAAATGCGAATCCAGTCAACACAATTCGACACTGCTCGGAGGAGGAGCATCGGCAGCTGGCATTCCGGAGAACTTCTTTTTCCCAACCTGAAGAGCAAGAGAGACGAGAGTGACCAGAAGCGGGGCCCACTTTGGGTACCTGCATGACAACGACACGGCCACGTTGATCCACGCGGCCTGCAAGCCCTCGATAATCCCGAAATTCTCGAAACCTGCCCAGAGATTGAACGTCCTCATCAGATGGAGAGGCACACCGCAGCCTTGGAACAAAGAGTAGTACAGTTCCTCCCCTCTTGTGAAATAACCGATCCCGCAAGACACGAGAACCAACCCCCAATCCACCAACAGCTTCTTGAAACAACTCATCTTCAAGGGTTTGGTTAACTTACGCATGAAAGCTATGACTATTACGACCAGCCCAACACAAATATCGGCACATCATACTTGGCAGGTATCTTCAGCTTCCAGTAGACGGTTAGAAGAAAGGCCAACAAAGCACTAGTCGTGTACGCGCCCAGGCACACCCAAAATCCTGCCTTTACTTTACCTAGATGTTGCACAGGCGTCGACTTCACCTCTTTTTTTTCTTCCATCAATCACTACTTTCTGTATGTTGATATGAGAGAGAGCTATAGCTAGCGAATAATTATATATATGTATGTATACGAGGCAAGGTAACCCACGAGAAAACGGACTCCCACTTATTTTCGGACTCTCTCCCTCTCTCATCCTAAATATTCACCGACCTTCACCTTTCCTAATCAATATATATTTACAATTAAATACTCTAAATATCTTGAATACAATTTTTTCATCAATCCTAGTAGTGTTGATGAACTCAAAACTATTAATTTAATAATCGGTTGAAATCCAAATATGAATCCTATACTAATATTATAATATATTTTGGCTTAATTCAATTCCTCTATTCAGTAATTGTTTAAAATAAAATATTTAATAAATAAGATTAGGATTCTTAATATACCGTGTAAATATGATTTTTTTTAATATTTTAATATATTTTTGTTTAATCTTTGCCAAAGTTAATAACATTTTATATTTTCTTATTACTTTTACATATATAATATATCAAATTAATCATCTCTTGATGAGTTCCGATTCAAAATCCATATTGTATGTATAAAAAAATAAATTATATTTATTTTTATAACAATAATAATTGTTTTTAATATTAATTAAAAAATTAAATTATTTATCAATTAATATATTTATAAACAAAAAGTAATTCATTAGAAATATTTTTTTTTATTATTAATAAAGGGCTCGAGCTGTTATGTTAAATATGTATTGAAAAGAGTGGTTTCGGAGGTTAGACTGTACGACCTCTCTTTAAAAGTGGGATCATATACAATCTCGTCGATAACAGGCTGTTTAAACATTTATAATAATTATTATATTCATTGACTTTAAATCCATTTTGTTCTTGCATCATGTAGGTATTCAAATAATGGATAAAGAAAATGCAAAACTTATCAGACACATTAGAATGGCGGAAATGAAAGAAAAGCGTGGACTATCTCCTGCAAGCATTGAAACTATTGTTTCAGGTGAGTATATTTTATGGGACTTACTTTTCAATATTGTATTTTATATAGTATATGCAACTTACATAATTATAAATTAATTATTAGTCTAAAGTATAATATTTTATTTATGTGAAATGCAAACAGTATATATTTCTTTGATTTTTTTTTTATATATTAGATGTCAGACACTCCATCCAGTCAAGCAAGAAAGTTTAGAAAGTCCTTTATAGATGCAAGGCGACAAAACGACATTCAGTGTACACAACTGATTTTTTATATGCAATAAAATGCTTTGAGTTCCTAATCACATCTTAAATTTGAAATTTGGTATTCCTGTAATGCTGCTTCGAAACATAAATCAATCTTCTGGGTTGTGTAATGACACTAGGTGAGTGATCACTCGATCATTCTTTTATTTTTTTTGGCATTAGTTATACATTCCTAAATCTTAACTAATTTATTACCTATCATTATTATAATGTTTTTACTTTCAATTAAAAAGAAAAACTGATAACTGTAATAAATAATCATTATTTATTTTATAGGTTGTGTAATAACACCAGGTTAGTCATCACTCGACTTGGAGATCGCATTGTTGAGGCTAAGGTTCTATTTTCTGATGTGAGATTGTCTTTCAAGGTTCAACGAAGACAATTCCCACTTATGGTTTGTTTTGCAATGACTATTAATAAGAGTCAAGGACAAACATTGTCTAACATAGGATTGTACTTGTCTAATCATGTATTCAGTCATGGTCAACTTTATGTTGCATTATCTAGAGTTAAAACTAGGAGAGGCTTGAAAATTCTGTGTTGCGATAAAGATGGAAAAATTGTAAAAAAACAATTAATGTAGTGTACAAAGAAATTTTTCAAAATTTGAAATAATATCGACTTTGGTATTTTCTACTTTTGCACTTTTATACAACAACATGTATTTTTTCTATTATTTTATGTATTATATTTTTTTTTCATACAACCCGTGTAGTACACGGGTGTCGTACTAGTATTATTTTATTTGTAAAAATTTTAAATAACAACTATAAATATTTTTACATAAAAATGAGTGGTGGTACCATATTTTTGATTTATTTATTTATTTAAAATAAAAAAAAATTAAGTGGACAAAAATAAAAGGGGGTTGGGGGTGGGAGGGTCGACCAAAATAAAAAGGACGTATTCTAGGAATACGTTTTCCACAGAAAAACGTATTATCCGAATACGTTTTCCATAGTAAAATGTATTCCCCCAATACGGTTTAGTTAAAAATAATTAATTAACATAATTAACGTAATTAAGTTAATTAAATTAAAAAAATGTATTGCCGAAGTACGTTTTACAATGAAAACGTATTAGTATAATACGTTTTATTATTAAAAAAAGTTTACAATAATTTTTTAATTATAAAACACATTATTGAAATACGTTTTATAAATAAAATTAATTTTAAATATTTTAAAAATAATTTTTTTGCAGAAAAAAAATTTTAGAAATAGAAAACGTATTTGGAAAATATGGTTTTACCCTAATTTTAGCCCCAAATTGATTTTGCCCTAATTTTATACAGTAAAACGTATTCTTGTAATACGTTTTATTTAAAAAAATGTATTTTCATAATACGTTTTACTGTGCAGATACAGTACCTGTGCAGAAAAAATAAAAGAACACACCTGTTTGTCGGGATCGCTTCCACAACCAAATATCAATCCATTTTTCAAATAATAATCTAACATGCATACATTACATACAAAAAAGCAACCACAATAATTTATTCATTATGTTCAAATATCAGTACACATAATCCACCAAAAAAAAAACAAATATGTCCACAAAATTCTCCGTATACAGTACAAACTAATCAGGAGTGTATCGAACCGTAGGATGGTGCTCTCGTTTGCTGATCCGATGTTGTGGTCGTTGTGAAGAAGACGATGCGATAGGCGTGGCAGGCTCTTCTTCTTCTTCACCTGAATAATTAATTTTTTAAGAAATCAGAAATTCGACTCGACAAAAATCACAAAAAATAAATAAAATTATTTATTTGTTAAGTAAAAAATTTTCACCTTTTTCTTCTTCCTGAGGCCCGGTGTCGGCAGCGGGTTGGCGGTCACGTCGTCTTCTACCTCCACCAATGTTGGCAACAGGTTGATGCCTCGCTCGGTGTGACTGCGTCCTCTGGGATCGGACGTAGCTCTCCTCCGATAGAAGTTGGCTCGACGATGGCCCTTGTGCGACCTCTCCGCCTCGGACAGTCAGAGAACTGAACAGAAGACTCTCGGCCCTTGTGCCAACATATCTGGATGGAGTGTATGATGTAGGTGGTCCACGTTAGATAACGTGTGAAAAGCTCCCTCCATGGCGGTAGTCTGAAAATTAAATTCAAAAGAAATTAAAATGAAAACAAACAAATAAATAAATAATAATAATAATAAAGGAATAAAAAACACAAATATATATTACTTGCATCGCACTTCCCCTGCTCGACAAGTGGGTGAAAGCCTGTGCCCGGTTGGGCCACCGCGTACTTGCCAGGGTAACCGAATAGTCTCACAGTTATATTGTGAAACCAATCAAGGTAACCCGTCTCGTGCTCAATAAATGGCTCCACAGCGATGACTGGGACCACATTTTAGTCTCTATGTTCGACCCAAGCATTCCCAAGGTCTCCGTGACAGTCGACCCAGTCAAAAACTGCTCTCCCAGTCATTCCTGGCCTCGGTGGTGTGTCTCCCATTGGGCCTCAGTCGTAATGATCGGAGGTTCGGGGATGGACTGCCGACACCCGAACTAACGGAGGACCCTATCAGGCAGGTGGAGTTCACGAACGTTCCAATTGAAGATCCACCCCCTATATATCCAGATGTGTGAAGCTTTAGTACACTGGGCCGGGATAGCATTCTGTTGCAGGTGCCACTGATAGGGCAGCCAATAAAACTGAAAAAAAAAAATAATAATTAGGAATGAAGCTATAAAAAAAAATTAAAACAAACAACAACTAAAAATAATAATCAATAAGACTTAATAATAATTTTACATCCGTCTTTGTCAGCCCAGTCAATTGATCCCGGATAGCGGCTGTTTTCTTGCCCAGGTGTCTGGTGTCCCTCCGTCCCACCCACCTTAAAAATCACAGAAAATAAAAAAAAAAAAACACTTTGTAATCACAAAATTTGATAATGGAAATAATCTAAGTATTAAATATAAATAAATTTGATTACCTTCCTCCTAAGGGACAACCATCGACTCTCTGAAAGTTCGTATCCCTCATTCTTGAGCGAATACGAGGGATACGTTCATATGCCCAAACCTACACATATCGACATTTTCATTTGTTATTAGATATTAGTCTAAATTAGAATAAAAAAATGAATTTTCAAATAACAAGCAAATAAATTTAGCTGAATCAATTGGACACAGTTCTTGATCCACTTTTCCCCGGCCTTGGAGCTCGTGCAGAGCGCTTTATACACTCCGGCCAGGACCGCCGAACCCCAGCTGTACGTCTTGATCTGATCGATGTTGTACAACAGCGGCAACCAATACAGGTTCACTCCATTGGCCCTCTGGTCGGGGAAGAAGAAGGATCCGATGCACCATAAAGGCCCTTGCCCTATGTTCGTAGGTGAAGCAGTGCTCTTCGTCAAATAGCTCTCGAATGCACTCCGCTTCTAATGCATAGATCCTCAACCACTGGCCTGTATTGGCCCAAGTCTTGGGGTCTTGCTGCGGTTCCTCGGGCTCCTGAGAGATGGTTTATACATATTAAAAATTAATAAATGGAGTAAACATAAATAAAATTAAAAAAAAAAAATTACCTGGACATAGGGATCGAACCCAAGATAATCAT